TATTTATTTATTTTTCTGCGCTTACAGAAAATAAACGAAGAAAGCGCAGCTAAAACTAGCACCGAAGCTGCTGCCATTGCCGGTCCATCAACATCCTCCCAACCAACTGAAGACGACAAAGACAAGGAGGAAGATAAAGATGCAAAAAAAGAAAAAGAATCGTTGCGCCGAATGCCGCAAGAAAGTTGGTCTTACAGGTGAGTGTGAATGAGCACGCCAAATTATTAGAAGATGTATATGTACATATATAAATATGTGCATATATAGAAAAGGACAAAAAGTCACCTTCACATACAGTTAACTGCCGAATGTGAGTTAAGTCTTTATTGTGAAAAAAAAACCCTAAGAATTAAAAATGTAATTTCGGAATTAAAAATAACATAAGCAAAAAATTGTAATCCTAAAATGAATAGAACGACAAGTAGCCAAATCTCATGACTTGCATTCTTGGCCTTCTCTCATATATATTTGTATGCCTTTTATTTGCTTTTATCTTTTATTTTCTGTCCAATTCTTAAATTAATCAACTATACGTTTGCACGCTTACAGGTTTTCAGTGCCGATGCGGTGGACTTTACTGTGCTGTACATAGATACAGCGACAAACACGACTGCACATTTAATTATCGGGAACATGGGGCCCAAGAAATTCGACGCAATAATCCTGTGGTAGTTGGCGAAAAAATACAAAAAATTTGAACTTTTGTGCCATCAACTTTATAATATAAATATATATAAATATAAATATTAAATATATACATAAAATTAAATATAAATAATAATGATAATATAATTAATAACTATATATACATATGTAATAATAATTAATATAACACTACAAAAAAAAAAAAAACAAAAATGGAAATCGGAATCAGAAAGCAACAAAAAACTCAGCTTAAATAAACAATAGTTGTAACACAGAGCGCATATTTAAACAATGCGTACTCCAAAAAATACACAGGCACACACATACTCATACAAACGGCAAATTAAAATCCCCACCACCACCAACACAGGCGAATGCTAATTTTGCATCCCACTAGAATTCAAGGCTTCCTGAAAATGCAGCACCACTTGTTGGCATCACCAAATGCGGTGAATGTATGCTGGAACATACTGACAAAACTGCATAAAGCAACGCGAATAAAATAGTGTATACATAGATATTGCATAGCATTGCATTTGAAATGAACGGTGGTGCTGCGGCGAAAACAAATGGAGTTTGAAAATTGACCGGAGCTGCCGCCGCCGCTCTTAGCTTTCCATTTAGTGACCATGTCAACGTAGCGTTTGCCAAAAAAAAAAAACCAAAAATAACGCGGGTCAGAAAGTGAAAAATAAGTTATTTTGGTGAACTTCCATTTCCATATTACAGCTGACGACAATGACGCTAATGACGACAGCTGCGTGAGCAAATTCACCGATGTAAACATATTTTAGGCTTACCACTTCCAGCTGATGGCAATTGCGATACCACCACAACTCCGACCAAAAAGAACCCCACACCTCATAGATACACGGAATACACACGTTTCACGCTGAGTGTTGAGGAGGCTTCTACTATAAACTTCTGGGCTGCAGTTAGCGTTTAAGAAATTTCAGATTACATACTTACAAAAAATAGCAATTTATTCGAGAACATATTTGGCAATCCATACAATATGAACATTTATTAATACATACTATTTTCAATTACAGTAAATGATAAAATACAAACGAAGAAAAACAAATATTAATTATTATTAATACAATTACTATTATATTATATTATTATTATTATTACAACAGAAGCGAGACAGAAAATGGAGCTAAAAAGTAACAAGTAAAAAACAAGTAAAGAAAAGTAAAAAAAAGCGAAAAAAAACTAAAAAAAAAAATACTTTTACCTAGTTTACTATTAAAAATTGCGTGCAGGAGTAAACATATTTTAATAAAAAAAAAAAATCAACTTAGTGTATAGTGCAGTAAATCAAGCGGTAAACGAAAGGAAAAAAGTAAAAAAAGAAAACTAAGAATAAATGGAAGATCGAAGCTGATAAAAGCGTAAATATTAGTGAGAGTAAATGCAAATGGATTAATTTAATTTAATAAAATATACATATTACCTATATACATAATGATAATACGTTGATGAGTGGGCGAACGCGATAAAAGTTATATTTTAACTGACCTAGCAATATAAGGTTATCTGTCTCACCACGGTTCGTTCTTTGAAGAGTAAAATAAACACCTATATATATACATATATACATGAAAATTTAAACGCATTCTTCCTTTGTTGCTTTTTTCACTATAATTTTATTCCTTTCTTTTTTTACTTTAAGCGTTATTTAGTTTCTTCCTTCAAACTATGATAATAAATTTAATATTAATTACATTTCTTCCTTGTTTGTTGCTGTAAATCAATTTTAAACACAAAAAAAAATATTCAGATAGCCGTAAAACTGCAATTTTATTGTTGAAGTAGAAATCGATTTTACGTTTTTAGTTTATTTGAATAATATTCATTAATTATTAATAAAAAATATACACTTTGAAAAAAAAACACAAAAAAATATGTTTATCAAATTTGAATGTGTATAGCGGAGTGCAAAAAAATTGAAAATATGAAAACAAAAAATTAATCAAAAATAATACATATATGTACTATGTATATGTGCATATGTATGTATGTATATGCGCATTGAGCGGGAGCAGCAGCACAAATTTCTCAAGTGCAGATAAACGATTTAGGTTTAGATACTTACCAGATGCTTTGTTTTGAACTAGTAGCTGCTATTGCCCACAAAAAAAGTAAAATTATTAAAAAAAAAAAAAAAGTTGCGCAATGCGTACGCATCAGCACCCGAGTTAGTCTAATTTTCGGCCGACACTTGTATACTTTTCCAGCAATATTAAATACCCTCTTACCCCCGCCCCCCATTGTTGCTTATGTAGTTTGTTTTCACTTACATAGTACATACACACATACATATACTTTTCTTCAATTAATTTTAGTTAATGTAAAATATTTAGTGAATTGCAGTTGACGACATATGTATGTAGTTTTATAAGTTGAGCAAATAGTTGTGGTGAAGTAATAAATACATGTGAATGTAAGTATAAAATCAAAAAGCAACAACTGTTTACTTGTTTTTGTCGCTTTTTTTCGAGCTGCCTTGTTTTTTGGTTAGCGAAAAAAGGCAATAAAAACAGCGGAAACAGCATTGCTTAAAAATAAAATAACAAGCGACAACTTGGTATATTGGATAAGTGATAAGAAATGTAAGTAAATTACATAAAAAAAAGAGATAAAATAAAAGTGAAACAAAAAACAAAAACAATGAACTCTAATACTTTAATGTGTATGATGAAAATAAATGCGTAAATAAAAATTAAATGATAAACCTAACACCAATCACTGTAATTATTTGATCAATAAATGAATGAAAGAACTATATAATAAAATCACAACTACGTATTTTAATGCTTTTTTACCAGTTAAAGGCCAGTATGCAGCTCTCAAGAAAAGCAAAAACTCCAATATAAAATGACGTACAAGAAATGGCTAAGAAATTTTCTTGTGTTAACATTTTCTTGAGGCAGTACGCAGTTCTTAAAAAATTTGCTACGCTTTCTACTACGGTTTTCTAAATTTTTTTTTTGTGAAAAAGAGCACAAGGCAACCCATGCTTGCAACATGAATACATATATGCCCGTTCCATTATTTTTTGAGGAAAGAGTGAGGCAACAGGCTGGTGAAGTATCAGATATCAAAATTCCTTCTACGAAAATACGAAATAATGACTTTTCTTGGGGAAAATGCAAATATTAAATATCAAATTATCTAACGGGAAAGATCAAGGCATTTCAGAAAGAAAATTGAAAAGTTGACTGCTCAGAATTGTATGTGCCTGAAGACCCACAAACCGTTCCACATTAGCGTTGCCAAATGTCCCGTATTTGCCGGGACGTCATGTATTTTGCATTAAATTCGAAATGGTCCGCCGGGACAAGATTTTTCCCGAATTTTCGACAATTTCATTATACATTTCAACCTGTAAACTTTTACCCCGCATGGCCATGTTTTAACGCGTCTATTGTGAGAAGGTCATTAAGGTGTTCGTACACGATGTGTGTCGATTTCAATAAGCGACTGTGAATAGTTTTTAATCACTCATCCATCTACAACTGTTTGTTTGTAGAAAGATGAGCGACTATAAACTATTCCCACTTAATGATTGAACGAGGAAACGACGTTGATGAAAGGTTCCTTTGACCAAACCTAGGGTGCGTTTTGAAATGCATCAAGCCAAAGCATCAGTATCTTTTATTTCTGAACTATAATTGATGGAAATGTCTTATTTACGCAACTAAGTTCCAATTCGGCTTATAACCGTGGTGGCGCATATTTTACATTTCTATCAATTATAGTTTCGAAATAAGAAAGACTGATGCTTTGGCTTGATGCATTTCTGAAGGCACTCCGAGTCTGTTATATGTTTTTGGGGTCGCTGAACACGAATCTGAAGTCCGTTTTGCTCCATGACGTCTGGATTTTTTTCTAACCTCAAAACACATCTCGGATTTTACGTGACAGAGAAAATCCGAGGTGTTTTTTGAGGTTAGGAAAAAATCTAGACGTGATGGAGCAGAACGTCCGTTCAGATTCGTGTTCAGCGACCCCAAAAACATGTGATAGACTAGGTTTGGTGAAAGGAACCTTTCATCGATTTTTTTATGTGGACCTGTGTAATTGATTGGCAGTTGACCTATTTTTACCATATTTCAGATTTGTGACTTCCTAGTTTAATCCAAGTCACAAACTGAATTTCACTGAATTCGGAAAATATTTCCCATTCCCGCCCACTAGTATAGGGGAGGGGGTGTGGCTGGTCGCCAAGTCACATTTTTTTTTTATATTTCTGGGTTTTTAAGCCAAAATAGATGTTGCACAAAATTTTTCCTTTGTTGAGGGCTGTTACTACACCTTTTTCAGTTTTAGTTCAGAAAGTTGCAATTCATATTCAGAAATTCCATTTTAAACTCGGTTGAACATGAATTGTAACTTTCTGAATTTAAATTGCAACTTTCTGAACTAAAACTGAAAAAGGTGTAGTCCTTGCCATATTAAGTAGAATACAAAATTCGTATAGCTGACGGACGTGGCAATTGACTGATTTTCACCATATACCTGATTTATGTATTTCAGTGAATATTCAGCAAAATCGGTGCTAATTTACTACTTTTTGTCACATTTCGTCTTTTAACAAACACAATAAACGACGAGATAAGCTCTATTTTTACCGTTCTCAGCGTTAAACTAGTTTAGTACGGTAGACACGTGTCTAAGAGGACCCCTAAATAATTCGCTTTGGGAGATAGAAGTTATATAAGAGTTATTCAAAGCAAACCAAAGTGCAGTTTTGAGTTATATTCGCTCTATGCTTACCCTGCAAAAAATGCGACTAATCCGGGATGACTTCGGGAGCAATGGCAAAGGAACATGCGACTAATACCACTTTTGATCTCTTTATATTGGAATGAACTGTTCGCTTTTCGAACGGGTATAAAAAGTGACCAGTCAATTTAAAAAAACTAATATTTGCGCCAGCTGCGATTCGAACCGGGGTTCACAGTTTTGCTAAGCGAATTATCTCTCTGTGTGCCAACGCCGTGGAATAAGTGCGTACATATCATTAAAACGTTAATAGTTAATAGAGATTAGTCGGGGACTGATTGATCTCCAATTTTACCCGTAAGGGATGAGTCAAGACTAATTAATCGCCAATAAATAGTACCCGTATGAGACTAGTTGCGACTAATTAATACCCAATTGTACCCGGTTGTGAGTAATCTCGGAATATTCTGTTTAAAGATTAGTCGCACAATTTTTTGCGGGGTACCTATATTGTACATATGTATGTACGAGTACATTGTAATCGATGCCATGGCAAGTGTCGCTCTGTTTACCGTTATCGTTAACTTTATAATTACAATTGCCAATGTCATAGGCATATTTACTAATCAAAATATTCCTAATCCCTTACCAAAAGTCAACTGAAATTGACTTCGTGTTTAAAAAAAAAAAGTACATAAATACATTTGCCGCTTCCGATCTCCCTCAAAATCTTGCCTCGATAAATACGGTACGGCTACATGAATACTAATTTTTATTTTTTGCGCGACTGCCGCTTTCTTCTTATCTCCATCCGCGAGGCAAATACATAGTAGTAAGTAAATTATGTATGTGTCGAACAAATGTAATCCCAAACGATCTCAATAAATGTTCTTATCGGCATAATTAATTTATTACGACTCAAGTGTGTTTAATCAATAAATATGCAGTAAATACGAGCACATATTAAAAGCAAATTAACTATACCTACTACTGCCTATAGCTATTTTTAAAAATTGTCCATTTTAATGTGAAAGCTGAGCGGTGGTCTATATTGTGTGGTCAAACGAGCGAACATTGATCAGTTGATCGAAGCTGCATGAACGATTAAGTAGTTGCTTTAGAAAAATTTAGCATAAATAAGAGTTTTTGGTGGTAGTAATAATAATTGCTTTGAAAAATGCCTTCAGAAGAAAAAAACATTGAAAAAAATGGTTCAGCCGCACCAAAACCGAGTGGTGCCGATAGTGCAGTCTTAAAAGTTGAAAATGGTAAAAATATAAAAGTCAAATATACGACAAAAAGCAGTGGCACAGTCCTTTTGCCCAATCGTGATGTACCATTGCCTACGAAATTCAATACTTCGGATAATATACTCGATCCGTTTTGTGATCCTGCTAAACCACAAAAAATATCTTTTCATGATGTTACTTCAGCGGCATTTTTAATTAGAGGCGGTGTTGAGAGAACGCCATGTCCGGTAAGGAACATAACCGATATCGTTTATCGGTGAATCAGGATTTGTGAGTTTGTGTGTTAAGAACGGACTAAATCGTATTTTTACAATTGTGAAGATGCACATATTGCACTTCACAAAACTTGGGAAATCAGTTGGCGCAACGGTAATGCCCTGCCAGCAAATGGAAGAGAATTTTATCGCCTATCGCCTCGATGTCAAAGCGATAGTGACTCATTTAACAAAACATATTTCTGCTCGGACGATTTTTAATCCTTGAAGTGTTGCAAAATAGCAAAGCAAATCTTGGAAGTCCATTCAAGTAAAACTATTTTTTTTATTTCATTTTTCAATTAACGCGCAAGTAATTATATTCGAATAACAAATAATAAAATTACTTTTAATTCTAAACAGATGCGTTATTTGATTTATTATGTTAATGCCTCTTTAGGTACTATGAAGTTTCAGAACTGCTTTTTAAAATGTTTAGTTGGAATTTTAGAAAATATGGGTGCGTTTGAGCTAGTAATCGTAAGCCGAAAGCAGAATGAAAATCGTGTAAGTAACTTTGCGCTTTGGGTTGCAAGTTCAAAGGTATCTCAAAAATTTCATTACGTTCAGACTTTATCGCACAAGTTACTATCATTCCTTTCGAAATAGTTTCCAATTTCTCTATCGCTTTCGTGTCACAAAGACGTGACGTCTTGGTGGAACAGTTCTTCCCGATAAGAATTCGAAAAAATAGCGATATCGTCGGCGATGATTTTCACAGAAATGTCGTATTAAATCATGATGCAATAATACGAGGTGTTATCGGTTGGCAACTTCTCGCTCTAATTCCGCCATATTGACTGCCTTAGGTGAAACAGTGTTACTTCTTCAACAATTCTATGCCTAATAATATAGTTGAATGTTTTTTATTTTTTCTCTCAAAAAGGTATTTTATCTTATTTTATTAAATTTCATTACGAATATACCATAAAAAAGCCAATTTTGTTTAGAAGAAAATATGAAATTTTATATTTTCCCCCCAAATGGGGATTAATTTCTTTCCGTTTTTCTTCTTATTCTACTGAGCTAAGGCAGTGTCAAATCGAGCTGTCACAACTGATACCACCTTGTATTATTGCATCATGGTGTTAAATTAGTAACTTCCGCAATAGAAAATGCAGGCAGTGTGGTTATTCAGCATGGTACAATAATAACAGTTATTGTATTCCCTGAGAGTTTTTCTTCACATCGCTCCCTTGTGCGCCCTTATTTTCATTTTGACGCCGTTCAATGTTGATTCTTTTACTTTTATTTGGCTTTGCTTTTTGTTTTCGCTCAATTTAATTTTTATAATTTTACAAAACAAGAGAAAAAAAGTTTGAAATGATGTTAGTAAATTAAATAAAATAAATAATTAAAATAATAATAAGAAATATCCTTTTTCCCTAGCAGTTAACCTTTTAGTGTGGGCAACAATGATGTTTTTCAAATAAGGCAGCTCGGAATATGCGCTCTCTGGGAAGACAATACCTGTACAATTTACTACGCTCTCACCTGTAGACAATTTTTGGCAATGAGCTGATAGTTGGGGCATTCACAACGGTGTCGTAGATGTCGTATTGTTGTATGACGTAAATTTTAAACGCCTAAAAAATATATTAAGGGAGTTCGCAAAGTACCATCAAAGTTATATTTTGAATTTTTGCTGTGATAAAAAATAGTTGGTTGTCGTTTCAAATTCTCTAAACATTTATTTAAGCTTTTAAAGTTTACGACATACGACCACTTATGATACCGTTGTGAATCCCTCAAGTGTTTTTACTTAGGAAACTGTACGATTACTCGGACTTAGGTTATTATTATACATATAGAGATATATTATTTTACCTTTTCCAGCGTTCCACATCCTCAGATGCGTACGGCATGGACTTGTATTTGAAAAAAGACTTTCTGCAGGTTACTGGCAGGTGAGAATGGAAATTAAAAACTATGTAAATAAAAACACAATTATTTTTAACTTTATTCTTTTTGCGGTTACATAAACGGAAGTCTAAAACATTATGTATTTTTATTGTATGTATCAGATTAACTTGAAAAATACCATAATATAGTTTACTAAAAGTCTATTTGATATCACACACCTCTAGCCATTTAGCTAAAGTGGATGCCCATGAGTTGTATTCAAATTGTAGGTACCTTTTACGTACACACCACTAAATCATTAAATTGTTTACAAACTTTTTTTTTTTGTTAAATTAGTCAGTAATCAGTCATTAACTCTGTAAACAATATTCGTTGATCTTTGACTGTGAAAATCTTTCCATTAAATGAGTGAGCTTATGGCTGACCAGTCCAAAGTGCATGCGTACAGTATCGGTCATATTTATAGCACTCCATTTGAAAGTGATACTGTTTGCCACCTATGGTCATTTATTTATTTTTAAGAATTTTTAAACACAATATTTAGAGTCCATTCCATGATAATAAAAAAAAAAAAAAAATAAGGTAGTTTCACTTTGAAGTTTTTTTGACATAAACTGACGTTTATACTTTTCGTAAATTGCTCAAGTAGCACTGCCATTTCAATAAATTATTGTGGTCGAAATTTTAATTATTTTTTAAGGATGATTTTTTGCATTAGAAAATAATAAAACGCTAGGTAAATTTACTTATTTCATCGTATTAGCAGAGCTGTTAGTAAATATGCATTGATTTAAAATACCTTAAAGTATCTTACCGCAAAAAATTTGCACTATCTGCAGTGTTATCTGAAATATTATTATATCTGGCCCTTTAAGAAACTTATGTACATATATATTAGGATGTTGCTTTAATTTGGATTCTCTTTAGTGGAAATTTGAACCATGGAGTGATTAAGAGAAGCTTACCGTCAATGAAATACCATGTAAGCATAGACTTATTTGTTATAACGCATAATGTAGTCATGAAGAGGAGAGTAAAAAAATTCCTAATTCTTAGAGCTTCTTATTATATTTTTAAATATATTTTGATTTAAGTTAATAACCACTTTTTTAATTTCTGCAAAGAATACGGTAGCTTCAATTTAAAGGAAAATGTGATAGGCACATTTTACGTCAAATGGGAGCAATGGCGGGTAAGAAGAAGAAGTGAACCTACCTTGAAATTTTGTATCATTGTGATCAGGTAGCATGAATTTGATGAAATGTCATTATTTAATTAAAAGTCAAATGGTTAACAACAACAACGAATGTCATTAAACGAAACTACCTTTTTTTGTATCATACCAACAAACGTTTAGGTTTGAGCTCAACGTTAGGTTAAGTTGAGAACTAAGGTATTTCACGAGTATTTAGTTCTTCACTGATTGTATCTCATAGAAGAGCGTACTGCTAGACATCGGAAGTTTCTGCTTTATAATTTTCATGTTATTTTTAACGGCCATATTTTTTTTATTTTTTCTTCAAGGTTTTCCGTGAGTTTTTAAAAATCTGTACAAATCAGGCGAAAATATTGATCCGCCTTCGCTCTTAGATTTTGATACAATGCAATTAGCGTATATATCATTGCTGGTCTTTTTGCCACATCGATGGGTTCTTTCTAAAGAAGGTTCAGTGAATTATGAACACATGCAATAACACCGCAATGAAAAATTTAGATTTGCCGGCGCAACCTAATACTTCCCACTGCAAATGTGTAGAGAATTTCTTCCTCTGCAATGTAGTTTTATTTTAAACATTTTTTGTTCAAATCGTTTGATTTGACGCCGTCAGAGTTCTGGGATAAAATATGTTACTTCTCTTTAATTTTAAAACCAAATATGTAAATCAACTCAAATCCTTAACAATTAAGTTAATTTATAATTTTCAAACAGGCGGCAACCTTCAGCACAAATATTTTCGGTTGTAAGCCTTCTTAAACTCCGATTTTTTTTTAATTCTATTTTCTAAGTTACACCTCTAGCAATACATCGGTGTAAACTACATTCAATTCCATGAATCAGTTTTCGAGTGATGCGCGTACAAACATACAGACTGACACACAAAAATTCTAAAAATTGTTTATTTGGCTTCTGTTGCTCTAATAAAGACCCCCATATTAATTTTTCATTAAAATCTACAACGTTCAGACATCGGCCTGTTACAATTTTATTACTTATATTTACATATATAGATTACTCAATTACTTAACTCCTTTCTTACAGCTTCAAAGAACGTGGTGCCCGCTATGCGCTGCTCTGCCTCACCGATCAGCAAAAGAAGACCGGAGTTATATCAGCATCGCTAGGAAATCATGCGCAGGTCTTTCTTTCATACCAGCTTTTAATTTTAAGTAGGGGTATTCGTCTAAACATAAAAACTTATGAGACATGTAAAATTTTGAGTTTACACTCAGTGTTGCATCCTCATTAAATAAAATGACAACACCGAAGTATTTGAATTTGCCCTTCGTTTAAATTTATCGTACTTTGATAGATGGTTTACAAAGCCGAATATTTGATTTACGAGGGATTTAAGAGCTTAGACGAATACCCTGAATACGCATACAATGCATTTTAATTTCTAATTTAATTGAAACGAAAAATACATCTCTCCTATAGGCGCTCAGTTATCACGGCTGGAAGCTTGATATACCCGTTACAGTGGTTATGCCAAAAGAAGCACCTATTATGAAAATACAAAAATGCCGCAATTACAAAGCGAATGTGGTTGTTGAGGGCAAGGATATGGCCGAAGCTAAGGCGCTCGCCATGAAAATGGCGCAAGACAGAGGACTGCTCTACATCAACGGCTACGATCATCCACAAATTATGGCTGGACAGGGTACAATTGGTTTGGAAATATTAGAGCAAGTACCCAAACCGGATGCGGTGATTATACCAGTTGGTGGTGGTGGACTTATAGCCGGCATTGCAACGGCCATTAAGGCATTATCGCCGGACACTAAAGTTATTGTGAGTTGAGAAAGCGAGATTTTAAACTTAATTTCCAAAACTACAAAAAAAAAAAAATAATAATTTTAAAATTAAAACAGGGCGTTGAATCAGAGAAATGTCCCAGCTTTTCGAATGCGATGGAAAATAATGGACCCATATATACACCACTAGATAATACGTTAGCCGACGGTTTGGCTGTGCCCAAGGTGGGCTACAATGCTTATGTAACCGCCTTGCCACTCATCGATAAGATGGTAGTTGTGAAAGAGGAGTGGATTGCTTTGGCCATTTTACGTTTGGTGGAAGAGGAGAAGTGTGTGGTGGAAGGTGCCGGTGCTGCTGGATTGGCTGCTATACTAGCGGGACATTTGAATGAACTGCGGGGCAAAAAGTGAGTATCAGTAAAGTTATTTTAATAATAGGAGTGCATCGTGGTCAAAAACAAAAAAAAAATGGACGTTTATCTACAGAGTGGTTATACTTTTATGCGGTGGAAATATCGATACAACTGTGTTTGGACGCTGCCTGGAGCGTGGACTTGCTGCGGAGGGACGCTTGGTGAAATTCTGTGCAGAGGTTAGCGATCGCCCTGGTGGTATCTATGAACTCTGTGATATGCTCTCACAATTGGGTGTCTCTATCAAGGATATAATGCATGAACGCGCTTGGCTAAAGGATATTCATAGAGTAGAGGTGAGAAGTGATATATTGTAGAGAAGCTTTAAACTTAAGCATTTAAAAATATTTGGTTTTTTAGAAATTTAGTTTTAATTTTGATATGCAGCACTTCTTTATTTCCTATATTTAAATATTTTCTATTTATAAATCTTTTACGTACCCACTTACAGTCAGCGTCAAATATAAGTATACACTGTTTCACGAATTTCTTTATTTATATTTTCCATACCAAATTTTTATTATTTTTTTTTAGAAAATTCAATCAAATTCAATAGCAAAAACTACAAGATACATTTTTTTTTATTTCATACGAAACTCGGGAAAATGCAAAAAAAATTTCAATTCGATTTCTTAGAAAAATTTTAAGTATGCAGTATGTTTGTAGCCCATTAAATTCTAGTACAATAAAGTGCAAGTTTACATAGCGGCGCTAAAAAATTGCCTTGAAAATTTCGATGCGAAATTCTTGCATTTTTCCGAATTCTGTATGAAATTACAAAAAAATTGTTCTGTAGTTTTTGTTTTTGAATAAACTATATTTTTATAAAAAAAATAAAAAATTTGCTATAGAAAATATAAATAAATAAAATCGTCAAAACGTCAGGGTGTATTTCCGGCGCTCACTAGTATGCGCGTACGTACATACTTATTTCTATAAAAATGTGTTTCTTCTTCTGGTTTGCTTTTAGGTGAAAGTAATTTGTGAGACCCGTGATTGGGCACATAGCATGGAACTGAAAAATAAGTTGAAGAATCATTACGCGAATGTAGAGTTCTCGGAGGAACCTTTGGCCATACATCACAATGCAGTTATATAATTAAATCTTAACTTAAAATTACATATTTGTACATATCGACCCATTTGCGCGAAATTAGCGTATGTATGTATGTGGCATTTTTTCGAAATCGACTTTTTGATGCAAATTTATTTTTACACCACACAACGTATCAGCCGGTAAAATATTGCAGCTTCTTAATAAAATCTCTTTCGTTGCGCCGAAAATTTACTGTATATTTTATCGTATGTTACTATGAATTTTTTTTCTTGTGGGTGAAATTTCGTATCTGCCATAAAAAATACTTAGAACATAAATAAAAAAATTGAAAAGATTTAGAAAAATGAAAAAACGCATTCCTGTAAAGTTTGTTTCCTGGCAAATACGATAAATTCACGCAAAGGTGTCTATATAGTGATTTATTTGCTTGCGAATCGGCAACAAAGTGCTGTGGGAATTCGGTGCTTACAAGCGGGAAGTAGTATTTGTATGAAAGCTCCGCTCATAAGCACTGACTGCTTATATTGAACTTAGGGTTGCCAACCGTACTATAATATATAATATTGTACCATTTTTCCGATCGGCGTACTATATACTTACTGTTGGAAAAAATATAGTACGCAATAATGCTATATTTCTTCAATTATAAATATAAATATATTTCAGTAATTTGCACGAAAAATGTGTATTAAAATGGATGAACTTTATACTGAAATAACAATATTAAATGAAATATTCTTTTAAGTAAAAGGTCATTGTAAGTTTATAATCAAAAATTGTCATATATTTTTAAAAATACTGAGAAAGAATTAAAAAACTGACTAAAAAAAATTATTTCATTTCTATTCTCTATTCCAACATCTTCGGCATTCACAGGAAGAACTTTTTCCATCACTTAAGAATCGTTTTTATTTTTTCTTTTAATTAAAGTAGTATATCTATACATTCGAAGTGTTCTATATTTTTTCCATTTTTTTTTTTAAGTATGTACTATAAATATCTTAGAAAATGTTGGCAACCCTAATTGAAATCCTCGATTATACATATTCATCTATGTAATTCAACCAAACGAACAACTACTATTACATAATAAATTTTCATTTAGAATGGAAACAAATTGAGAATTCATTTCTATCACACTTCAAAATGTACTGAAGATGTGCCGTATGTATGACCATTTTTGAAACGAATCCTGAAATAGGGCGATCTTCAACCAAATTCTGAAATAGGACGTTTTTGAAAATTTTTTTGAGATATGGCGTTTTCGAACTGGCTGCCGAGATGGGTCGATCTTCCACTTTAGAAATAAGTCATTGATGTCTGAGCTGCCCCAAATCGTATGGTGGGAACTCGCGTCAGACCCACCAACATGGCGGACCCTCCTTCATCTAGCTTCTGCCACCGTATACCTTAGTAACCGCGGAGGTGGCTCCACCTCGTCCTTGTGCGCCATATAAGCGGAGATCAATCAGAGTTCTCCGGTCGCACCCTCCAGGCTCACCGTCACAATGTCTCCATCGCTGCAAAAAAGGGCCAAAATAAAAGCATTAAGTTCCTTCCTGATGAGCATGCAGGATCGGGGTCTACCTGCGTCCCGTTGCACCATCAATTTGTAGTTCTTCGTCCATTTACCAGAAACCTTATTGCTCAGCCACGGCTCCTGGATCAGGACTAAATCGACTCCACCTTTCTCAATGTGGATTAAAAGATTTGCTGACGACGCTTTAGAGTGCTGAGGATTGTTCTGTCATCTACTAGGGAAGCACAAAATGAGCATTACGTTGTATGTTGCAAAATAACGTGTAGATGACATGATGGCAATTTTGGTCATGATGACAATTTTGGTACTAAAAGCTGAAAGAAAACATTGATTACCTCGTAAGGAGCTTACCGATTTTCCCAGAGGGCTAGAGGTCGCTTCTATACATCCTTCGGTGCTTCGGCAAAATAATTATAAAGAAATCTCTCTGCTGTATGTTTAATTAGTTATATTATCTAATGTGACGTTGTTACCTGGCTTAACGTTACTAAAATTCCCATTGAAAAAGTTTTGTTAATATTGTTCTTGAAACAATTTTTAACGGAAAGAGAAAATGCATCTTATGTCGAACGAACTTTTTATTTTGACATCAGCGGCTCCATTTTTTGCAAATCTGTTTTTTACTACGTTAAACTAAACATGCCAAATGTGAAACAAGGCATAGCTTAAATACGGTTTTTCCAAATAACTCGACCCTGGCGCTACCTAACGAGACCCCTTTTGGCAAAAATGTTCCTGCTTACTTAACCAATATATATATTATAAAAATCAGCTAAATCGACCTATAAATAAGTTAGATATAGGACTTTTATATTTTTTCGATAGACTTTTCGCTGGAATCGCCCATATGTGGTACAATACCAGATTGCTGAAACGACGTTGACACAGATTTGATTAGCTTTAAGCTATCATTTGTCGATTAGGAGTTTGATATTTCGCAATCATTTCGTCTGGTCTATGCACTAGAAGATAAGCTCTTCTTCGCTATTTAAAATTATATACATACATGTATAAATAAATTTCATCCAAGATGACTGAATACCCATAGTTTATATCGTTACCAATGCAGCTGGTATCGAGACTGCTACAAGTAAATAGTAACGATTTTTGCTTATAACAGTCGTTAGTTGAATATTTTTTTGGGTTATACATATGAATGCGGAGTAGACTTTACCGATATGCATAAGATTTTAGTAACTTGGTATTCGGTACTCCTTCAATATAGACGGAAACTGATCATATTAAAATTGGAAATTCCATCACTAAAATTTCGCTTTTCAAAGATATTTTATATTTTTCTGATTTATTTTGTTAAATTGTACAAATTTTATACATATGTAACTAGTTAAAACTTAAACAATATTTAGACAAGATAGTTTTAAGGCGTAGTTTTAGTACAATGGATGACGACATAATCGATGTAAACTGTAATCCAAAAAAACCACGTGATATAAACCTTGAACATATCACCACGGCCGATTTACTTTTAAAGGGAGAAGTGGTGCAGACGCCATGCACGGTATTGAATTCCGATATGCATAGTTACTTGTATAGAAATTTTTATGTTCAAATTCTCTTCCAGCGTGCTGCAAATTCTCCTGCTTATAATATGGATTTGTATTTCAAGAAAGAATTCATGCAAGTAACAGGTAGGTAAGAAAACTATAAATATAACGATATTTTAAATACTAAAAAGTGTCAGCGATCAGAAGTAAGGATGCCGCAGAAGCTTTCAAACTTACTACGCTCAAGTTTTTCCATAATAGCGTTTCAAAAAGCCATATTCACAGTGCGAGATGCGGCTAAAATGGAAGATACTGGCATTCTCAGCTTGCACGAAATTGTGACCGTTTTACAGACGAAATACTGATCGATCTTACCTCATCTACATATGAACCTTCATTGTAGGTGGATAGACCGTCATCGGTTACGGGTAGTACTAGTTATGTCCCATTCTTCTCTGATCGGAAACCGTATAGGTACTCAAATATTGCCGCCCGAGCTTGATACAGCACCTTTCAATTCGTTGCATCATTCTTTAATTGTATATGTATGTTCTTATTAAAAATTGATTTTATTTCAATTGTAATGCTTTCTTTCGTAATTTACGTACGTATATCTATATTGCAGTTTCAAAGAACGTGGCGCACGTTTTGCCCTACTTCTACTATCCGATAGGCAGAAGGAAATTGGCGTTGTTTCAGCCTCAACCGGAAATCATGCTTTGGTAAATATTAGTTTGATAGTTTGATCGTAACCACAACGAAACTTTAATGCCTTCTGAGCCCTATTTTACAGGCCATAAGTTATCATGGAAATCAACTAAATATACCTGTTACTGTGGTAATGCCCACCTGCACTTCCCGTTGGAAAATCGAAAAATGCCGCTCATATAAAGCAACTGTCATTATTGAAGGTCGCGACATTGCCGAGTCCAGAATAGTCGCATTGGTCTTGGCCAAGGAGCGTCAATTGGAATATATTAATGGCTACGATCATCCACATGTTATTGCTGGTTGTGGCACCATTGGATTTGAGGTTCTAAATCAAGTACCAAAAATCGATGCTATAGTTGTGCCAATTGGTGGCGGCGGACTTATAGCAGGAATGGCCTTAACCGTTAAGATGGCATCACCAAATACGAAGATTATTGTGAGTTCATCAAATGCATCAAAAGTAATGTTCTTTTCCCCCAAATCAATCGCCTGAGCTTCTGCAGGGCGTGGAACTAGAAAAATGTCCCAGCTTTACGCGTGCTCTGGAGAATAAGTCACCAATTTATACGGCACCAAATAGCTCAGTGGCTGAGGGTTTACTGGTGCCAACAGTGGGTTGTAATGCCTTCCCTATGGCAAACACATTAATCGACAAGTTAGTGGTGGTACGCGAGTCTTGGATAACTCTAGCCATGCTGCGGCTGGTTGAAGAAGAAGGGTGTATAGTCGAAGGTGCTGCTGCCGTGGGCTTGGCAGCAATATTGGCGGGACAATTGAATGAGTTGCAAATGAAAAGGTACAGGATATTATTAGTTGATAATAGGTTTGTTCGTCGAAAATCCAGCAAGAATTATCCAACACTCAAAATATCAGAGAGTAAGAAAAAATTCTCTCAAATTCTCTCTCATGTTGAGAAACTTGCAAATTTCTGCACGAACGCAAATTTGCAGGAATTTGCAAGTTTCGCTGCCAGCTGGCGTCCACGGTTGCATTTCAAACATAAAAATTTTTTATAGAATTTTTAAAATTCTTTCGGATGGCCAAAAACAGGATATACATGTATATTACTCGTTGTTCTGACTTTCTTTGACATACATTTCAATTTCTTTATCGTACTAGCTGTCGGGTTTCTTAAATCGACTCTGGTTGCAATTGCATTCCGATTGCGAATACCATTTTTTTCAGCCGAATTAAGTTCAAATCATTGGAATTAACTAAATTAATTATATCAACAATTATTTACTTTCTTTTTTCATAAAAAAATCGCTCGTGTTTATAAATTTTTAAATTTAACGAACTAATTTATTCAAATTATTGTAGACAAAAATGCAACCATGCGCCACAACCACATGTTTTTCGTGTTTGCAAATTCTTGCTGGCAAAATTTTTTCCATCAAGAATTTGCAACTTCTCTCCAAGAGAACTGTCACTTTGCTCTCACAATTTTTGAGTGTTGGATAATTTTTTGGTCTGCACGAACGCGATTTGGGCAAAAATCGTGATAATTCGTACAAATTCGTACAAATTTTTTGCTCGACGAACAAACCTAATAGCTTAGTATAAATATACTATATAAAAGCATATAGATATATGTACATATACATATGTATTTACCTATGAATATATGTATTCCTTTTTCTAGGGTCGTGGTTCTACTTACTGGCTGCAACACAGATGTGGTGTCCTTCGGACGAGCTCTAGAACGCGGCTTGTTCGCAGAGCGTCGTTTATTGCAGGCTGATAGTGATGAAAGTGAGCGCGAAGGTGGCTTACTCGAACTTTTGGAAAAACTTTCGAAACATGGTTTAGCAGTTAATGATTTATTGTCCGAGACTGTCTGGTTAAAGTTAGCCTACAAGATGGAAGTGGGTAAGTATAAGGACGGTATTTAAAGTCATTAATTTTTAATAAGACCCAATTTCTACAAACAAAGAATTTTTCATATCAGAACAAGCTTCCAAGTTGATAATAAAAGCTAAAGCTCATGATATTATTCGAATAATTCGATTATTCGTATGTTCGAACGTTCGAATAGCAATTGTTTGTACGATGCCATTCGAATGTTACTATTCGAATAGTTGATTCTCTTCGATTATTCGAATAATCGCAAAGCTATGATTATTCGAATTCCTTATTAAAGTCGAATATTCGGTCGTTGTAGTAAGCGTTATATATTAGGGACGGTAACGGTTATGCTTTTTTTCAAAAAGTCAAAAAATAATCGTTATTTTTTCATCGATATGTTTTCAGTCAACAATAAAAGTTACAAATTGACTTTTATTTTTTCGGTCAAAAATAAAGGTTAAAATATGACTTTTATTTTTTCGGTCAGAAATAAAAGTTAACACTTGCCTTTTATTTTTTCGGTCAAAAATAAAGGTTAAAATATGATTTTTATTTTTTCGGTCAGAAATAAAAGTTAACACTTGACTTTTATTTATTCGGTCAAATATTAAAGTTAAAATATTTTTTATTTTTTCGGTCCAGTATAAAAGTTCAAATTTTACTTTTATTTTTTCAGCCAAATATAAAAGTCAAAACTTGAACTTGGCAGCCAGTTTGAAAACGTTCTATCGCTTAAAACATTTCAAGAACGCCCTTTTTCAGAATTTTATTGAACAGCCTAGCTCAGAATTCGGTTCAAAAACGCCATATCTCGAATTCCGGAATACATTCATCTGTATTAATTAGTAGCAAACATTCGGCGTGCTTCACTGCGTCTTAAAAGTATTCTTGTGTTCTTACTCCGTCCCAAAACTCTTATGGCCTCATTCATAAAAAGTAAAATCGATTTAAAGAGCTTTATGAATTAAGATTTTTAAATAAAATTTCTATTAATAAAGCATTCTCTAGTTTTTATGAATGTGGGTGTTAGTTAATATATTTTCCAAGTATTTAGAAAGTAGGTAAAATATCGACATTCTCCTGGGAATTTAATTTATAATCTCACGCACTTTCTTCAGAAGTGGGTTAACTTAATATTTAACTTTTCTTATTAATTTAACTTAATTAAATTTTTCTAATATGTGGCAACCCTCATACAAAATTATTTTAGCAGTAAACTTCGTAAAACTCTTCAGTTTGAGATTCATATTGCAATATTTAATTCATGTCATCAATTGAATTGAATTAAAATTTTCAAACAAGTGGCAACCTTCCGCAAAAATATTTTCGGCTGTAAGCCTTCTTAAATCTAATTCGTTTGATAGCCTACTGCAATATTTACTTTACCGTATCAATTAACTTTTACTGCAATTTTTCAATAGGTGGAAACTCTATTTTTTGTGTATTTTGAGTTGCACTAATTGCTCTCGCAATACATCGGTGAAAACATTCGATTCCATGAATTAGTTTTCCAGTGATGCGCGTACAAGCATACATACAGGCAAATAGACAAAAATTATAAAAATTGTTGATTTGGCTTTTACTTGGCTCTAATAGAGACCCTTATATTGCAATACAATTTAATTATGTGTATAGATTTTTCCCAGATACGTCTTTTATTTTACGGCCCGGCGATATTACTCAAATAGTATTCAATGGGGGTATTCATACCCGATTTATTGCAGATAGACGCAATATGCCCTCCCACAATTTATTATCTCTGGCTGTATTGACAAAGAAGCTGGAAGATTCTTCACTGAAAACAACAAACCAACAAATTATGCCAAATGAGAGCAAAGAAAACCCCAAAACAGAAAGTCTAGATGAGCCAAAGAAAGGTGTACAAAAGGTTTTAGAAAAAAGAGCAGAAGAAGAGAAACCAAAACGGTTATCCGAACAGTCGCCACAGCGGACAAGATATGGAATTCTCGAAAAGACACGACAGGAGCCCCCATCTGTATATAAGCATAAAAAGTTATCAATGCTAAAACGAGTGGCATCATCAAAAAAGCATCCAGTATAATGTCCGAATAATTTATGTACAACTTTTAATTTTTAAAAGTTGCAAAACGTAAAAATGGAACTAGTAAATAAAACACACATGTTTGTTAAGTTTTTTTTTTTATTCATAAAAATTGTGAGAAAATATTATAAGTACGAGTATTATGAAAAATTTCAATAAATCATACATCATCATCATCATCGTCATCGGTGCTTGTGTCAGCCAAATACTCTTCATCATATTCACTCAAATGCTCACCATCACCCACTTTCTTTTGTTTCTTGAGCAAACTTAGACGATAGGCCTCCTCCTCTTCGGGTGTGGGATCGGTTGTCTCTATAAAATCCGCCTCGCCATGTGGATACTCATCCATCACAGGCGCCAAATGAACGAATGGCATATTACGTGCCACATACTTATGGCCCCAACCGATATAAATCGATTCGCATAGCTTATCATAGGTGAATGTGTAGGCACCCGGCCAAATGTTCGATTGCATGACAAGTATGCGTTCGTTTTTATTGGTGTACTTGCTGGTGAAACGTGTTACCCATGGCATGGTGTACTGATCGCTAATATCGAAATAGATTGGATTAAGTATTGGTGGTCCAACTTCGGGTGAGGATAATTCTTCACCCTCCTCATCCTCATCCACATCCTCATCTTCCTCTTCCTGCTCTAAATCTTCCTCTTCTTCTCCCATTTCCTCTGTACGCATTTGTTTCCGCAAACCTTCCAATATCTTATCGCGTTCTTTTTTCGCCTTCAATTCATCGAACCAAACCACACGTCCCTGAAGTAATAAATTCGGACGTACGTGCAACCATTTCTCAAGATTTGTAAGATATTCTAGCTGCTCCGGTTCATATTTTTCATTTTTTAACAGCGTAACATCATTATCTGCAATTGAAGGAAATGATTAGCTTAAAAACGAGCTTCAAGATGTTGCAGCTTACCGATTTCTTCTTCTTCCCCCTCGCCCAAATCATTTGGTTCGTCGTCTTCTTCCTCCTCCTCCTCATCGTCTTCAAATCCATCGAATGCACGTTTTTCCTTCTTCGTCATTTTGCGATAGTAACCATTTGGCGCAATGTACGTACCGGCGGTAATTCGACCGATGAGTGCACGCAAGTAATGCTTCTCTTTGCCCGGAAAGCAAGGATAAGATACAATGTCAGCTTCAAGATCGCCCGTAAGAAACTTTTTAATTTGGCGGCTGGCATTGATTTGTTTAGGTGTTACCATAGGCAACTCTATCCAGTCATCCGAAACGGAGTTCACAACAAAATACGAAAAGCGATTAGTGCCCGTACCGACGATTTCAGGTGGTATAGCGAATACTTCTTTAACTGCGACTATTGGTATTGGCGCAACAACTGGCACCATTTTCTCCAAATCTTCAATCGGATGGTCGTCCCAACCCATATTTCCTGGTGTTAGCTCAGGGCCGACAAAAGTTGGTACTGGCTGTTCGGGTGATAGCATACGCGCCATCATCGCCTTATTGTATTCTTGTAACTCCTCTGTCATTTGTTCGGCTCGCGAGAGTACTTCTTCATGCGACAATGATGCCTCCACTACATAATAAGAGGCTTTGAGACCATTCATCATTCCCCAGAAACGGCATTGCATAATCGATGGATGCATTTGTAAACGATCCATGGAGCAAGCGAGTTGAAATATGTCATCTGGATTGATGCCGAAGCCGCATTGATTCCAAAAGAATTGCAAGTGTTGTACACGCTCGTTGAATGTTACGAAACGGCTCATGTCCAAAATATCAAGTTTTAAACCTCCCAAAATTGTCGATTTGGACTCCTCTGAAGGAATTGCCTCCGCAGCCAATGGCAGCTCGTTCGAATCGTATACGGGTAACTGTAAGAATGCAGATGGCATTGAGTGTTAGTTAAGGCGTTTCTGTTTCTACCGAAAAATGTTACCAACCACGTAACCTAAGTAAGTAGTAACCTAAATATTAAAAAATAAAAATTACCTTGTCATTGAACTCTTAGCAGAGATACTAAGAAAAGCGCAATGAAAAGATAAAATTTGTAGGAAGAAACGAGAACGTCCTTAGTAAACCTCTACAACTAATTCATTTAACCAGTACTCTAGTTTCTAATGAAACAAAACGTAGGGAAGAATCCTTTATGTTCTTATGTATATCAACAAAACCCTCAGATTTACTCCATAAGTTCCATTTTTTGCTTTCAAGTTGCATCAAACACTTAATATTCTTCTGTTAGCATACCTTCATAGATAAAAGCATCTTTTTGGCCACACGATAGAGGCGAGACTCTTCGAAAACTCCATCTGGTGGAAATCGCTCTGGCAGATGTAGCTTCTGTTCGCGTACATTACGACTGAATTCTTCGAAGAAATCAATTACATTTGGTGGTCGCTCATCGATGACTCGCTTGATAATGTCTGATAAGTGATCAAATCTACAAAAGGAAGGCAGATTAATTAAAATGATCTACGAAAGATGTGTTCACATTATTTATATTTAGCCCACAAGTTATCGCCGCTGATACTGCTATATTTTTGCATAATAGCTTTAGCCACATTCAACTCGTAGCCAATGTTGGGCGGTTCTTTGCGTGTGTGATCGTGCTTCTGGCACTCAGCGTCGAAATATTGGCTCAACAAAGTATTGGACGATGAGGAAGAGGTGGAGGTGGAAAATATAGGCGCACATGGATTCTCTGCCTCATCTGATTTGTCTGTTTTGCCCGGTTTCTCTACTTTGCCCATGAAACGGCCACAAGGAAAATTAATATTGGAGCTTGAAGTTGTGTCCATGGTGAAACCATCACAGGATTGCTGTTGATCCAACTCCATTTCAAATTGCTCTTGCTTTTATTTGATTGGTGAGTTGATCTTTTAAATGAAATTGATGGGATGAATTTTTTCTTAATTTTTGTTAAAAATTAGTAATGAAAAATTAAAATATTTGATACCCCTTTAATAGGCTTTAAAGACATTTGACTTTGAGTGAGTTTTTTTTTTACTGAAGGTTGGTTGCTATAATTTTTGTATTAGAGTTGATAATGCACATAAATAAATTACCAATGCGAGTGGCCACTTACGGCAGATTTCAAGTATTGGTACACAGGTTTCCAGGAATTTCGTTGAAAACACTGTTCTCTCTCTGTCTACGGCAGTTTACTGGATGTAATATGAAAAATTAATGCGAGTTTCGGGTTTTAAAAACTTTAGTAATAGATTATTTAATTTTTCTTAGCCACCCCAGCTCATTAACTTATGGTCAATAGACCAGGCAGGGTGGTCAAGCATTCCGACAACAGTCAAGTGATTGTGCCTCAAGGAGTCAACAGACAGCAATCCTGAAAGTGGTCTGAAGTCCGCCATCTGCTTGTTGAAAGCAAATACCTAGCTTGACCCCCTGAGATTGAGGGGAACATGAGTTTTGCGCCATGCAGTCCCTCAAGAGTCAGTGCTGAGCGAAACTTTTACCCAGTTTCTGGAGGAGGCTTCGATGTGGACTGAGGAATACGTGGTATCAGCATTCTCTACTTAAATGGTGGCTATAGTTTTAGCAAGGCATCCAAATACCAGAGCAATTGTAAATTCTGGCAAGTATCTTGAAAGTTCTTTACTGTATTTCGAAAGACTAATTGAAAGATCTGGTAACGAGGAGATCTTTGCGTTATTCTGTTCGCCTTTTAGCAATAAGTTCTTTATTTTTTAATACAAAAATTACCTGACCTACGGGCTGTGATGGAGCCACAGCCGCTAAACTTAAACGTAGAATACGTGATATTATTAAGATCACATTCAAGTTAAATTGTATTACCTTTTATATTAGCCTAGGTCACCGTATTAGTATTCTTCTTCATGTTCGTGCTCGTTTTCACATTATCTTCGTCTTCGGATATGTGCATAAGTTAGCTAAGACTACTAAAACAGCTGGCAACCCTCCTAAATATAGTTAAGAAATAAACAAATCTCTTGCGTCTGATATTGTGATACCCACGTATATTACACTGCATCACCAAAAAAAGTTGCGGTTTTCCCGCCGAGATTACAAAATCTATTATATTTTAAGACGTCCACCAAAATATTTCGGAAAAATTTTAAGATTTACGTGAGCTGGGCCGATTTGAAAATACCCCCAAAAATGGAGTTTTTTATGAATAAAAATAGTTTTATTCAATAATTTTTATTGGGCTTGAGGCCGTTTTTAATAATAAAAAACTTAGTGTGGAAAAGCAACAATTATTCCTTTCAGTAGGATTCAGTATTACACATACAGTACATTACAATATTTCTATTGCTGCAAAGAACCTATGTATGTCCCGAAAATTAAAGTTATATCTGCAAATCTTAGGCTGCTAGCGCACTTTAAAGGCTCAAAATGTACCCCAAATTAAGCCAATATTTACCGTTGTTTCTAAGATATAAGCCGAATTGTTTACTTACAAAAATGAATCTGTCAATAGGTTTCGAGTTTTAATTTAGAAACGCCACACTTTTCTTTTGAATCGCTACATTAGTTCTAATGCAATAAGCGTTTTCGTGACGCTCCGAAAATTACAACTATGTACAACATTTGAGCATAGCCTGGATATCGAGACGTAAGACGTATTCTACGTCAAAACAATGAAATAAAATTTAATAAGATCCTAAAAGTTAAATGATATATGTAAAATATATACTTTTCCTTTACAACAACAAAATTAACAATTAAAAAAAAGTTAAATTAACAAAAAAAAAACTCATTAAATTGAAAAAAAGAATATAAGTAAAATAAATTTTTAAAAAGTAAGTAAAATTTAAAAAAATATTTTTATTTTTTACACATTAAAATCAAAATTAAAAAAATAAATTATTAAAAAAGAATATTTAAAAATTAAATAAGTTCATAAATATTAAATGAAATAAAAAAAAATCTTCTTATTAAACAATAATAAGCAAATCATTAAAAAAAATCTAATTAAGAAAAAATAATTACAAAGGAAAATAAAAACTTAGAATTATTGTCTAAAAACTAAATTAAATTAAAAAATATGTATTTCCTTTATTAAGAAAAAATAATTAAAAAAATTCCACTGCGCCAGGACTCGAACTTGGATTTCCACGAGATGTTTTCCCACTCGGTAATTGAGGCTGCTGGAGTGACGCGATCTAAATGATACACAAGTGCTTTCTCTAAAAATAAATTTTCACCGCGAGTGGTGAATGAGATAGCTTTTTTTTCTAAGAATTGTGTGCTAGAATAACAAAAGTTGTTCGAACTATCTTGCCATCGTCTTTCATTTGTCTTACGAAAGACTTTTTAGGGATTTATTCTTTGGTTCTTTTTTGAATAATTTTTTTCTTTTTTAGTTCAATTTTATTTAAATTTTTTGATTTTATTGTAATTAAATTAAACGATATTGTTTAATTTTTAGAAACTCATTTTATATATTTTTTTCTTTTTTTAAATTAAATAAACTTTTATTTTGTTAATTTAATTTTCTTTAAATTTTAGTGTCTTAAAAAGAAAAAATATTATTTTTCATTTGATTTTCAGAATCTTATCGTTGGCTTAGTTCGCAAACGTGCTAAGTCCATTAATTTTTATTTTTCAGGAGAGACAAAAAACCGTCTAACTTTTTTTTTGTCAAGATTTTTCTAATCTGTAAATGCAGTTTTATTCCTTAGTTCGTCTTGTTTTAGTACCAATAATCGGCCAATTTCAAAATAAAGCTGTTGCAGACTTATAGGCTCTTTTAGGACTTACCACATTTTCTCTTTAAGATTTTATTCTTTTAATGTGGACTTAGCACATTTTCTATCAACCTTTTTTCCATTATTTTTTATTGTTAAAAGATTTAATTGTTTACTTTAAATATATTTTATTGTTTTAAAATGAATTGTAACGTAATACAGTTTTATTTCATTGCTATTAACAAAAATAACTATTTTAAGTCGTAAATTTATGTACCATTTATAAAAGAAAATAATTAAAAGCAAGTAAAGAGGTAAAGTTTGGGCGAAACCCGGCGCAGGTATCAAATGCTGTCGTAAGCAGGGTATTTTTCCCGATTTCAAACGTTTTCGATAATATCCTGAGTTAAACTCAATGAAATAATTGAACCACGTTTAGTAAAAATCGCTAAAGTGGCTACCGAAATACACGTTGTAGTCATAAATTGAGCGGTGTCACGCAATATTATTTATTGTTAAGAGATTAAGAGATCTGAAATTTACCGTTAGATATACGGGAAGCGAATGTAATTTTGGTCCGATTTGAATAATTTTCAACGAATTGCTTTTCCGTACCTGGTTTATTAAGTGCACAGAGTTTGGTAGAAATTGATATAACGGTTACCGAGTTACAAATTTGTGGTCATAAGTGGGCGGCGCCATGCCCATTATCCAAAAATGTATCATAATCTAATTTTCTGCTGAGTAGTTATCGCGATCATCGATTTTAAGTGAATTAGATTTTCAACAGATTTCTTAGCTAGACCCTAAATAAGGCTCGTACCGAGTTTGGTGAATGGGCTACTGAGATGCAGCATTTCATAATAGGCGGGCGGGGTCACGCCCATTTTCCAAAAGTTGCACAATAATATTTTTTACAAAAATTCTACTTCACATACTAATTTTGAACAATTTTCATCCAATATTTACTGAAATATCGTAGTTTTTGCATCTTTATAAAATACCTTTATATCGGAAATGGGCGTGGTTACATTCAGATTCGCCCATTTTCAATACCAACTTACCTTGGATAAAGGGCAGCCTACATACCAAATTTCGTTGAGATATCTCGAGTTATCGTGTACACGGACAGACTTGTATATATATTTTTTTTGATTTTTGTGGACTTAGCACATTTGCGTACCAATGCATAACAACAAGTAAAAACGACATTACGGTAATTTTCTTTTTTGGTAATGATGAATTTTCAGTTATGCTATCTTACTGCATCAAAACCTCAATTTACATAAAAAGTGGACTTAGCACGTTTGCGAACTAAGCCAACGTTATTTCATTATTTTATCTTTTTTAATATTTTTTTTTTTAAATTTTGGATGTTTTTTTTATTTAAAAATATTACTTTTTTTTAAGTAGGTACTATTTTAATCTTTTCTAATTTAATTTTTGATCTTATTTGACTTTTCTTACTTACTGCTATAAAAAGAATTTTTTTAATTTCATTAAATTTTTAGAAATATTTGTATTTATTTTGCTTTACATATTTTCATATATTTTTTTTTAATTTAACTTCCTCTTTTTATTCGTTTTTATCGTATAATTTAATTTAACTTTTAAAAAACTTATTGCTAAAAGGCGAACAGCATAATGCTAAGACCTCCTTCTTTTCATTAGTCTTTCGTAAGACAGTAAAGAGCTTTTAAGTTATAGTTGCCATAATTGACAATTGTCTTACGAAAGACTTTTGACTTTCGAAAGACTGTGGCGAGTTAAAAGACAGTTACCAGAATCGAACTGTAAGGCTGTAGAGGTCTTTTATTGAAAGTAAAACCATATTACCATCTATGATTTCACCAAAATCTTGTACTTCGGCAAGAAATCTTCATAATGACTCCTTTGAGAGTTAAGAGACAATGCCGTTCAAGCTTCTTGTGGTAAAAACCACAACACAAAAATTTGTTAGTTGGTAACTTGTGCTCGCGCTGCAGACAGTGTGGCAAATATTTGAAACTGCGCTACTAAGTCAAATTTGTTTAGAATTGAGTGTGAATGTACGACTCTTCAGTATCTCTCTCTTCAATATATGGGATCAAGGACATTTTTCCAACCTGTATTTAATGGTACTACACAACTTGAAAATGCTTATAAACGAACATACATATGTATGTGTATATTGGAAGCGACTGTTGGG